TAATAATAATTCTTATTCTATTATAAATATAAATTTAATATCCTTATAATATTTAATAATTAATATTATAATGAAAAATATCAAAAATTAAATAAACAGGAAAAATTACCAAATAATTCCAGATCTATACGAAATGCTATAGAGAACAAATACAGACGACATTGATACTAATTACTATGCTGAATAAATTTCATAGCCACAGCTTTGTAATTCAATTAACATCTCACTCTTTTCCTACAATTAAATAAATTCGTTAGATATTTTTTAAAAAGAGTTATATATTTCCGTTATATATTTTTTAAGATAAATTGAGACGTATTATCTGAAGCAACACAAATGTCCTTCAAGTCTTCCGCATTTGCAAAGAGAACGCTATATGTATATACATCAAAGCCATCTCGAGTCTGCACTCGACAGAGGTATGCAGAGCAAGAAGAAAGAGTTCGTTAATCCCGAGGAAAGGAGTATTTTATTCGTTTCATCCACGCTGGGAATCACGTAACGAAGCACGTTGGAAGAGAAAATCGACAGACTCGTAAAGACGTGGAGAGTCATTAAAAGACACTCGTGAGATTCGAAGCGGGATGAGACCCAGGTCATTCGTATCCGGCTAATAAGATGGAATGACGAGTACCGGCCAGATAATTAGCTACAGACGCGAGTAACGCAAACATTAATTAAGCTGCACAAGGAGAAGTGTGTACGCGTCATTACCGTTTACGTGACAGACGTTCAAGTGCTGCTGCAATCTTACGACTAGATTGCGCGTTTCAGCCCCGACAATGGAGTCGCTTCGCTCTAGATCAACTTGACTTCACGCATGACTGTCAGTTACCTACGATTGTTGTGCTTTTGCATAATTAGGCACGTTGAATGCTACACACTGTCGAAGAAAGTGTCATTTGATCCTCTTAACACGTCACACTAGTGATCATTTGTCACAGTACCTAGGTATTCTTCATATGAAATATAATACTGGGAGCACAGGGAGTGCAGAAGAGAACACAGTCTTGTGATATTCCACATGTCCCGCCAGCCGAAAGATTGGAAAGGAATTTTTGATTCCTCAAAAAATTAAAATCAGAATCCTATCGAAGTGAAAGAAATTATTATTGACATTTAAATTAAGTTAATATTGAAATTAATTCGGGATTAGATTTTGATATGATGAAAGAACATTTGTATATGAGCCGTTCACCAAATTGATTAACTCCATAAAACAAAAAGTGGAGAAACGCAATGAAATAATGTATATCGTTTTTTAAAATTCCCTTTATAATTTAAATCGAAATAAATATCGTAGAATGCATAAATACGAATGTAACTTTCATCTGACGGTATATAAAATTTATAAGAAAAAATAGCCAAAAGGTGATCGTTAGTAATGTTACCATTTTTATGTTACTGGAAGAGTTAATCGATTTGGCAAGTGAAAAAAGTAATAAATTTAAATTTTACTAAATTTTACTTAAATTCTGATAAGACGGCACTAAAAATTCACCGTTATCATTCATGGCTTGCTAGTGCATTTGAGTTGCATTATTGCAACGATTTACATTAGAGTACGGAGTTAATCAAAGTGACCTCCGAAATAAATTATTTATTATTCAGTGGCCAACAAATTTTTGTCGTTTAATGGTGTTAATCTTAATTATCAGGGAAAGTTATTATAAATATAAAAAGTTATGACTATACCAAGTGCTTTGACACTTGAATTTAAGATTTTTCAAAAAGTGGAGTTAATCGATTTGTGTAGTGAACGGCTCATATATAACTGGCTGTCGTAAAACGTGGGTAGCAATACCTTTTGCTTAGGACATATGTGCACCAGTGCTGGTAAGGATATAGGTACTTGTTGCATCGCGAGTAATACGAAGGGTTTGGATTTAATCTTGCGACGTGGTCACAGAATTTTGAATAAATTAATGGTGGAGGAACAGGTGAGTGATGTATTTATGACTTAAATTTGATACATTTGGTGGTTTCGTGATTTATAATTCCATTGTATACTATGACATAGAATTGTATAAATGGGATGATGCAGACTTGATGTGTGTATGAAAGTTATTAGAAAGTCTGGAAAGTCTAAATAATATGAAAAATCTTAAAAGTCCAAAGTCCGAAAGAACGACAAATTTTGGAAACTCTGAAAAGTTTACAAAGCCTGAGAATTCTGAAAACTCTGAAAAGTCTACGAAACCTGAAAATTCTGAAAACTCTGAAAAGTGTACGAAGCCTGAAAATTCTGAAAACTCTGAAAAGTGTACGAAGCCTGAAAATCCTGAAAACTCTGAAAAGTTTATGAAGCCTGAAAATTCTGAAAAATTTACGAAACCTGAAAATTCTGAAAACTCTGAAAGGTCTGTGAAGCCCTTAATTCTGAAAACTCTGAAAATCTTGGAAAGTGAAAAGCCTGAAAATCCTGGAAAGATTGACAGCTTTGGAAAGCTTATGAAATCTGAAAAATGTCTTAAAAATCATTGAAAAGTAAATAAAAAATTTGTAGAATATCTCTGAAAAATCTCTGAAAAGTTTCTTACAAATTTTTTAAGAATCTCCAAATTTCCCAGAATTTTCTGAAAATTTGAATTATTTCAATTATAATAATTTGAATTATGCAACGTTCTTTTGCGACATTCAGACGTATTCTCATCGATTGGTATAAATTAGATTACAGGTGAAGTTATGCTCTTATTGATCATATCGCCAGCAGTATTTTTTTTTTTAAATGCCTCGTTGCAAGTGAAAAATTACACCATCTATGAAAATCACTTTAATAAGTCCTAGATAATTCGTTGAGGCAATTAGTACAATCCCCATGAGTGTATACCACCTAACGTCATATTAAATCTCTCTTACAAAAGCGCTTTCCAGTTTTTACAAAATAGAAACCATTTACGTTCCATTCTCTAGTTTCGTTTAACGCGTTAAACACGGAACTCGTTTTGTTTCACTTTTCGCTTAAACTTCACGTAAATACAGAGACTGCATCTGTACACGTACTGCGAGTAAAGACAATAAGCACAGGAACCAGCTATAGTCGACCTTGTTGTAATGCTCGTAAAGGAAAACCTCAGTTTTATGTAAAATGTTTCAACAAAATTCATTCAAAACGTGTAAATATACCCTTTAATATCACTCGAATAACGAAGCTTGATTTTTTAACTTGTCATTGTTAGCTACAGAACACAATTCACTGAGAATTGGCATAATTGTATTAATCTAAATAATTAATTTTTCCTCTTGAAATAATATACATTATTATATAATAGTATAGGTGGATTATATATACTGTATATACTAAACAAATTATATTATACTGAGCATAGTATATATCAGATGTATTCAAATATATGCAATAGTAAAAATAGAGAGATTTGAGAGAGCGAGAGAGAGGGGGGGGGAAGCAAGTACAATAACTATAAAAATATTTTAAATAGAGATTATTCAAAGAATATAAGAAGATTATATGCAGAAAATATGCAGAAAAGTTATACATAGGTATTATATATAGAATATATAGAGAGATTATATATAGAGATTATACAGAAATTTGTATTATATATTTTATACTATAATTACAAATATTCAATAATTTTCACTAATTTTTATATTAATTTTTCCTCTTGATATAATGTGCATTATTATATAATAGTATAGGTGGACTATATATACTGTATGTACTAAACAAATTATATTATACTGAGCATAGTATATACCAGATCTACTCAAATATATGTAATAGCAAAAATACAGAGATTTGGGAGAGAGAGAGGGGGAGGGGGGAAGTACAATAACCATAAAAATATTTTAAATAAAGATTATTTAAAGAATATAGGGAGATTCTTTGCAGAAAATATGTAGAAAAGTTATACATAGGTATTATATACAGAATATACAGAGAGATTACATACAGAAACTACACAGAAATTTGTACTATACATTTCATATTGTAATTATAAATATTCAATAATTTTCACTAATTTCCATATTAATTTTTCCTCTTGATATAATGTGCATTATTATATAATAGTATAGGTGGACTATATATACTGTATGTACTAAACAAATTATATTATACTGAGCATAGTATATATCAGATGTATTCAAATATATGTAATAGCAAAAATACAGAGATTTGGGGGAGAGAGAGAGAGGGAGGGGGGAAGTACAATAACCATAAAAATATTTTAAATAGAGATTATTCAAAGAATATAGGAAGATTATATGCAGAAAAGTTATACATACATAGTACATACAGAATATACAGAGAGATTCAATACAGAGATTATACAGAAATTTCTATTATATATTTGATATTTTAATTATAAATATTCATATACTTCAGTATTTTATTATTGAATATTCACTCATCGAATATTTTATTATTAAACATTCATTTATTTCAATATTTTATTAATAAACACTCGTCTATTTGAATACGTAATTAAAAAATTATGAAATTCCAAATACGCATAATTAAAAAATTGTATCACATAATAATTACACGTGACATTTACGCGTAACATTCCAGCTCTGTATAACATTTCTTACTGGAAATAACACAGATATCCAAGCACCTTAAACAAAACTGACAGGATACTCGATATAAAAAAAAGTTGGTCCCACCAGCCGAAAGAGCTAACCACATAAATCCACCCACCGTTACGGTCACTCAAACGCAACTCCAAATAACCATCGCTTTTATCCAATCTCGCTGAAACTAAATTTAAAAAGAGAAAAAAAAAGAAAAAAAAAATCGGAATAAAAGAGGAAAAAAAAATGGAGGAAAAGCCGGGATCGCTGAGCACGAGAGGGACAGTTGGAAATGTTTCAGAGGCGTCTCGCGTCGTAGACGTACGAGCGTTAAAAGCAGGGAAGTTATAAGTTGGAAGGAAAAACTGATCGGATCCGGTGGTAATTGAAACGTTCGATGGTTTGGAGAGGCGGGCGCGAGCAGTCGTGGCGGGCCAGGCTGGAGCGAGAGAAAAAGCCCGTGGAACGAGGAGGGCGAGCTAGACGCGACGTGGAATTGGATTGGTTTTTTACTAATTAAAATTTCAAACTTGACACCTGAATGTGCCGTCTTTAATGAGACGCCGTCTGGCCGTGGGTTTCTCTCTCATTATTCTCGCGGGTGCGGGTTACACACTGCCGCCTGAGAAAAAAGGGGGATCGAGGAAAAGCGGCGCGCTAGGGACAAAGTACGGCAAGGGACGTAGTAGGATGGAAACGGTGTTAGTCACACAAAGTAATTTTGCGCGCGTGCCTTCCGTTCAAATTTACTTGCTCGCACGTTTGATACAATCGGCCGGGAAAAAATGTTACTCGCGGCTCCGGCTGATTTCTCTCGATCCACCTGAAAGTTATTGCTTCAGAGAGAGGGGACCCAGATGTTCCGTACTTGTAAAGGAATTTCTATGCCCGCCGTGTATTTAGCATCGCGATACAATTCCGTTGGGAATTTATTGTATATAATGATGTATTAAATTGAGTATGAAGTATTATTAAGTCTCCGCGAGTGATATATAATATTTAATTATTTAATTATTTAAGCGTGTGTTTATTACTGTTGAACATTAACCCTTTGCACTCGAGAGGTGACTCTCAGTCATCATTTAATCAGATCCTAAAGATCGACGTTAATTAATATATCAAATTTAAAATTAACTAACGATGTGTGGAATGTCGAAGAAAAATAATTCTACGTCTTAATTTCCATATGATTTCTCATTTACCATTTTAAAAATATCGTCGACTCGACGATGACAGGAAGTCTTCGAATTACTATTTTTCTGTAACGAAAAAGTCGTCGAGTGCAAAGGGTTAAGTATCGTTGAGTGTTGTCAAGTCTATAGTATATTTCGGTATTGTTAGGTGTCGTTAATATTAATGGTGGATGAATATTTTAATTATTAAACGTATAAAAATATAAAATTGCCTTTAGATATTGTCGTTGTCGTAACAACAATAGAATATCTTACAACGTCGCCATAGCGCCGACAACGGAGTGCAAAAGGTTTTAAATATAGTTTCCATTATTTCTCAGAAATTTTCAAATCAATTATCAGTTTTGGAAAAATTTGATAAAAATTTGTAACATTTAAATGACGATTCAGCCATTTGGTAGAAATTAGATACTCTCAAATGAATAATCAATTTCGAAAATACTTGGTACAAATTAAATCAATTAATTTTTCATATGACTAATTAGTTTTGAAAAGATTTCTTAGAAATTAGAAACTTCTATGGGACCAATTGATCTGAAGAAAAAATAATTTTAAAAAGTTTGGAAATTATAGTGTTCTATTCTTCATAATAATCGAAGAGAGTGAATTCGAAGAATTTGATATGGAGTAGAAAAATGGTGTCGATGCTTGTCATGCGATCTATAATGACAACTATGATAGGTACAAAAGTTATTTTTCTATAATTTATTTAAAACTAGTACCAATATATTATTACTGTTAGTGGTGGATGAAATATCAATAACAATAAGAACAATTCTTTATTTAATTACAAAAAAAATGATCAAACACAAATATTAAGTATAAATCTAATTAATTTCTTGCAATCACATGCTCACACCTATTTTCACTATTACAACCCAATTACAACTGACTGTGGTAATGGTTCCATGGGATGGAAATATCTAATGAATTCAGGTTATTGTGATAAATGAGTATGCGTGTAATGATTGAGGTGTCGTGTGAATTGTGTATGCCATGTAATGTATGAAAGAAGAAAGAACAAAACGAGAGTGATTTGGCATAGGTCAGTTGCAATTGAGTTTTAATAGTGGGAAGAGGTGTGAGCATGTGATTGTGATAAATTAATTATATTTAAATTTAATATTTGTATTTGATAATGTTTGTAATTAAATAAAAAATTGTTCTTATTGTTATTAATATTTCATCCACCACTAACACTGACCTATGCTCAATTTTGACATCCCATGCATACTTGTCCCACTCATCCCTTTCTTACAGACCTCGCTTCTTTATTATATCAGCACACATATATTCCAAATCTATGTTAACCATTATCACAGTTAAATGTGTACAAAATGAAAAAGAGTAATAGTCATCGATAGAATTTTTACTAATTTTAGTGATTTTATTATTTAATAAAATATTATATATGAATGAAATGTACTGTATAGAAATATTGGAATTCTTTAATAAAAGACTGTATACTGTTAGTCGTGAATATTATATTTAAATGAAAATATTTTATTAAACAATATTATATCTCAGAGTAAAAGTTATCGACGAAATATATCAAATTCCCTTTCTCATGTTACTCATACACACGTTTTCTCTCAATCAATTCCCAATTGTAACTGATCTATTCAAATACTCTCTCATTTATTCTCTCTTCTTTCATACAACACATAAATATGTACAGTCTATACCACACTTCATTCATTACACGTATACTCGATCCACTCATTTTTTTTTACACATATAATTTATTTTACATCA